GACATTAACAAACACTACGTTCAGAGTCTTCGTCCAGCGAGACAATAACAGATGCAGCACGTTCCAAGTCTCCATGCCAGAGAGACAAAAGAGGACTGACCAAGTTTTGAGTGTCTGGCCCACAGAGGCAAAAGACAAACAGACATTTGCAACAAGGTTTAAGCTCAGGGGAGCAAACCTTCACTTCAAGGTTCCTTCGTCTGCGTGTTCCAAATTGTTAAGGACCTTTTGCACCTACCTCAGGGCCTCATCTGCGTGTTCCAGATTTTAGGACCCTTTGGTGCTCCAGGAGATCAGCATCCCACAGAGCTGTTGAAATGTAGTCCGGCGCCTTTCCCCACTGCATTGTCACACAGCACAACCAGTGGAAGAAGTCAACGCCATCGGACTGCTCACTCGACCACGTGGAACGTAAATATATCACTTTACCAAATCTCTTTCCAGTGAACTTGCCATTGTTGTATATTAGAGGTAATATAGCTAATGCAATAACAAATAAACTTTTGTTTATTTGATTAATGCATAATAAGGTTCTTCACCTTATTGGTTTTAGAGAAACAACAGTTTATTAAGATAACATAACTCTGCCATAGCCACACCCAACTTAATCACTTGTATTTTTTGCGTCATATGCACTTTATTCCTTTATCATTCATGGTATTCATTTATTGTTGTGTTAGTTATTCTTGTTTATCTTTTGTTAATAAAAATGTATTTTATTACACTTGTGTCTTACTTGTGTTGATAATGCAGAAGAGGCTCTACAAGTTAAAAATATCTCACCAATCTTTCAGATATATTCAGCTGACTGACCAACTCCCTCCACTTTACATTAATTCTAAATGATTGGACAGACTCCTGTTGGGAGTGTTCCCATACTGCCAAGTTAAAGTCCTTGACTGGTGCCTCAAATTAAGAGAGGGGGAAAGTGGTCATCTGATGTACTCATAACCACATCTTAAGTGCTCACTACATAATTGGGGTCTCATGGGCGAAAGTAAACTCACTACATGGGTGCTCAGTTTCTATGTAATTTGTCCAAAATCTCATGTTATAAATGATGAAGTGCTACTCACAGGCTTTTTAACACAGTATTGTCTATGACTCGACGACAAACGCTAAACTAAAACCATCTTCTCCATTATAGTGAAATAAAATTAATAATAATTTTAAAATATATATTATTTCTCCTCATTGTAATTGAGGAGACGTGCTAGCATAGGCACGTGCCTTGAATGCCTATGCATAAATCAGGCCCTGTCTGCCATAGATAAAACAGCACATGACTGACTGTCCTTCTGCATCACGCTGAGGTCTTGAGCCGTCCTTGTCTGTTGCTCTTTTGATAACACACTAAACTGACACATTTCATTAGGTCCCTTTGAAAAAAGGCTTGACCACTTTGTAAAAAAAATATTGTTCGAAATGTCACAGACGTCAAAATGTGACATTTTTTGTGACGCATGACCGTTGATTAGCATTGGGGTTCACGTTAAAAATGAAAGCTGACCTGTGCTGATTTGTCAGATCTTACCTTTACAATTCAGCCTTAAAAAAAAACATGAACATGAGTTATTAACTTCAGTCAAAAAGAACTTGTAAATGGACTTCCAGCTATGTATTTGTCTCCTTTGGAAAACCTTGTGTGTTTGCTATTTATAAATGTATTACTTGTTCCAAAAGCACACAAATAATACAATATCCTCAGCCAGTCCAATGTTTTCCTTTTTATCCTCTCCCCCTCCTCCCTTTATCATAATCCCAAGCTGCATGTGGTGCAACAGTCATTAATATTGGGAGCGCTGTAATCTCTGTCTTTTATTCTGCAAAGGGCTTTGAGCCCTGCTTGTAGCACCAAACCTTAACGTGAAAAACAATCTAATGATTTTCCTGAGCTGCCGTTGCCTTCCGTTGTCACCACATGGCTGCACAGTCTGAAACCCGAAAGCACTGACACTGCGGTACAGTGTAAAGTTATGAGTCACTGGAAGGTTGCTCCCTGGGAGGCCAAAAGTCCTCACACTGCTGTCTAACATATATGGCACTTTCCAAATAGGGTACAAATTAGGCCTGACAATCTTAAAAAGAGTGAAAAAGAGATGTTTAACCTTCAGAAAAAGTATGGCTCTTGAGAGTAAAATAAATGTCAAATAATAAATAAATATCCAAATTAGAATAAATGATTTTGATATACAGTACATATATATATATATATATATTATATAGGTTATTAGTTACTGATAAACTTATATTTCTTGTGAAAAGTTTGATCTTTTTTTTTCTTACAGTAACTTTTTAGATTGACAAATGCAGTCAATACTACAATTTTGTGTAAAAAATAAATTTCTCAGTGGGAGTATTTGCTTTTCTTCTCATCATGCTTCAAAAAGCATCTATATACATAGTTCAGTCATGAAACTCTAACCGAGCGCTGATTCGTTTATCTAACGCTGTGGCATTAGCCAACCAGACGTACTTGCTAATCCACGTAACCATATATAGTTTTACCCTAGCCTGCGATCGCCCTGCTGCATGATTATAAAAAAAACTTCTGTTTACCCCTCCTCCTCCCCAGCACCAGCTGTAGAGATTTGCTATGGGAGGTTTTACAATATTCTTGCAGCAGCATGTCCTTTATTATTTTAACTAAAGCTGAAAAAATTATTGTACTGTACATGCTCAGCAACAGCAGCAGCAGCAGCAGGTCTCATAAGCCAAAATCAAGCATATACATTCATTGCACCATTCCAATAAATACTGGTTAAATAATTCACTCCGAGGGAGTTATCATGATTGAAATCATCTATTAAGTGGGAGAAAAACACAGCTACTGTAAACATTTAGATTTTTGGGGGAAATTTTGTTTTAAAAAATGGTACTGGTACAAAATAATTTGTACTAAAATAAACTATCAAACAAATTATGCAATTTCTGATTTTCATTTTTGCATTCAGCTGAGAAGGTCGAAAGGTGGAACAGGCCAAAAATCACCATTTTCTCTAAACAACCTTTGGACACTGGCTGGTACAGAGAAAGTGCACTAGTTTGTAACACTGGATTTACAGACTTATCAACAAGCCATGTAAGGAGTACAGTGGGATCAAATGACTGCTATTACCATAGCTCTGTGCGCGTGGCTGTGAATGAGAAATGTGGCACTAATCCCACTAACAAGCTAAAGTATTAAAGTGACTGAAAATGGAGGAATCCCCTTTTTTTTTTCGATGTACACTTGGGTGTCATTAAACCACAGTAAGTGGTTGGTGTTGGTGTTGGTGCAAAAAAATAATCCTTTTGGTGCATGAAATGATTTTAATCATTCACATTTTTTATTCAAAATGTTATACTTTGCGGTTCAAATTCTGAATTCACAAATTCTTCCATTTAGCATTTTTCTAATTTACAATGTTTTCCATAACAAATGGTTATCAATATAATTTAGGTGGGATTGAAAAAATTTGACATTTTGCTTTACTGACAGCAGCACTCAAGCTGCATGAACTCCACAAGTCTGTGTAAAACTTGAAGATCATGTTCTTCAGCATGATTTAGAAATGATCTAAAGAGCATATTGAGTTGAAGCAAGAACATCTGTACAGTGTCTGTAAATGTCTCAGATGTTCTTATGTTTTAGTGACCTAGAAAAAATATTTTAAACTAATTTTATATAATAGCCTAAACTGTAATTTATCCTTTAAACTATCTTTCCTTTGTTCACACATTTATAGTATTTAAACTCAAAGGCTTATTTCAAAGGGGCCATCATCAGTCATGATGAACAAAACGTGAACAAAAACTGAAGAAGGAGCAAAAAATAAGAAAAAGAGAGTAAAGATGCTTTGGAGCGTGACAAAAAGCATTCATCCTCTGTTCAAATAGAGGCCTAAGACTTGTGCAGAGCTGGGGAAGACGGTGGATGAAAATGGTATACTAAAATGAGATGGAAGGATGTAATATACCTCACTCAATCTGGTTTCAGACCTAAAAAACAGCATCTAATCTTCCTGCAAGGAAAAAATAATGAAAGAATGATGAAAACATTTTACTCAAAATGGGTAAAAACTAATACGCTGGAGAATTTTCCATTCTGGTATGTGTATAAACGACAAAAAGTTCATATCTGAAGAAAATGAGACTCTGAATCACAGTGAAGATAGCAAGTGTCATTCTATCATACAGGGTGGTCCAAGTGGAAATCTCTCTCTCTCTCACACACACACACACACACACACACACACACACACACACACACACACAATGTAGCACAATATCATATGGTAAGGATGCCATCATTCAAAGACACATCCTCTCATGCTTTTCTGACAGGTTTATACCTTACATAAAAGTTCTCTAAATGATTGCTTGTCACGTCTAAAAAATAGCTTCCAATAAATGCTTATTTAACTACCCATAATAGTGACAAACAGGTTTTAAACAAGTATGCACCATTAAAATACATAACTTTAACTGAAGATACACCTTATTCATAAGAGAAAAAGAATTACAGCATACAATCGCAAACATATAATGAACCTGCTGAGGCGTGGGAGAGAGAAAACCTCATCCACGAAGGACAATCAAACATTCATCAAATTGCTTTTACACCTACAAATACTGTTATTGCAGCATTCAGGAAGTATTGTGACGTGGCTTTTAACATACAATATTTTAGGCTGTAGAAAGACTGGAACTAAACATCCGACTTTTGCATGACAGAACCAACTATAAAATAGATCAAACAAACCACATAAATCTCAAACCTCATAAGCTCCATCGTCTCCAGGGGACAGAAAAAAAGTGAAATTAATTATCATCCTCCAGTTTGTGGCACTGACACAGATGAAGTGTAATTGAAACCAAGCTCACTCAGTCACTTAGCACTAGTACAGTAAGTAACCGTCAGCCAGCCGTATTTCAACGAAGCACATTGCAATGCACAAACAAACCTTCCTGCTCTAGACCTTGATGTGAAAACGGAGCTGGACGGAGGGCACACTCACCCCAAGAGGACCATTTGCGGAGGAGAGGAAGACAGTGAAGGCGTCAGTCTCCCGAGGCACTGGGGCATATCCGCTTCTTTAGGAGCCATGCGAGGCGGACGAGTTGTTCCACATTGGCTGAAGTGCAGCAGTGAGAGGGTTTGCCCAACGCTGGAGCTGCAGCGAGCGGACACGCTCACGCGCACACACGCGCGCACACTCACACACATGCAAGGAGAGTAGCCTATGTGAGAGCGAAGATGCGCGCTACGTTTTGCGTCAAATTGAAATCCCACCTCAAGGAGGCTTAAGAGATGCGTCCCTCTTGATTTCTCACATCACTGAGAGAGGCACATGTGTGCGCGCACTGCACACACACACACACACACACACACACACAAGAACACAGACAGTTGGCGCGCGCGCGCACGCAGACAATGTTCCTCGTCCGCTGCCGCAGACTTCGTGTGTTTGATAAGAAAAGAGAAAGATAAAAGATAAAGGATGGGAGGGAGAGCAGAAGAGATGTGAGGTGAGGGAAGTCCTGTTTCAGTTCAGTTTAGTTGGTTATAGCCTACTAACAGCCGTATCTTTCATCTGAGTTTACTAACAGAGCTTATGTAATCAGTGTAAGTAATAATACTGACGCATATTAATTGGCTGGCCCGTGTATTATCACACTGATTACACCTCGTTACAAGATGACATGATTTAAATGAGAAAGAGATTGAGATAGGAAGATTAGTCTACAATGTGAGTGAAAAAAAATCAGATGTAAGGAAGCGTAATTGGATTGTTAATTAATGCGAGGCATCTCTGTGTTTTATAATTACCAGAATTCCGCTGGGGATCAATCAACCTTGTTGTTTCTACTTCTAACACGACTGTGTCGATCATCATACATGCTCAGTCAGTAGTATGCCAGGCTGTAAAAATCATTCCTAGATCACGTAAACCATGTTGGGAAAAAACAACAAAATATTTACTTGATTGTGTTGTTTACTTATGGAGCTCTAGCAAAGTACAACTTTCAGAAATACAACAAAAAGCTTTTCTATTAGGATAACTCTGCTTTTTAAGTCAAATCAAGAAGCATATGATTTGGATGAATGCATTTTTGTTTGTTCTACACTGAAGAAATGATTACTTTAGTATGCACTGGGACATGAGTAATTAATATGGTTGTATGTTTGACCAAGGACTTACAATGCTGTTTGTGATTTTGTTGTCATGTTTAGTAAATTATGGTATCAGGTGTGTTTGCTCTTCTACTCAGAATAATCAGTTTGTTTATTATTTCATGATTTTTTTTTTTGTCTATGTGTTCAATGCATGTCAGTACGCTGTAAAAAATCATATGATCAATAAGTTCCCAGCAAGCATTAGCCGCCATTTCACCATCTATAGACCCCATAGTCCGGCTATGAGTGACCCACTTCTAGCCAAAATAACCTTGAATTTGGTTACATGACGTTTTTGCCGAAATAACTTGCGAGATGTATGATATTCCATCATGTATAAGCAAAGTCAACAGTGATTAGTTTCACTAAGGTGTTCATTTCTTTGACAGGTTATCTGATTGATGAGTGGTCTATCTATGGTTAGACGTTTTTTTTTACAGTGTATAGTTTAAGAGAACAAGCATTTTCCTTTCCATGTACATTTTTCATGTATGACAGATTATAATATAAATTAATGATTATGCTAACAACGGTACATATAGTAATAGTTACTTTGTGTATTAATAACTGCTTTATTAGCATGTATTTCTACTGTAATTCAGGGTTAGTTCAGGTAGTTATAAAGCATTTAGCAGTGGCCAGTAAACTATTTTTGTGAGCTCATCTAAAGTGAGGACAATTTATTCCTTGTAAAGCATTTACGAAGGAGATTTAAAGGCTCAGTTAAATATTTCTATGTTCTGTATCACTGTGTTGTGTTTGTTTCCTTTTTCTGTAAATGAGCCTTTAAATCTCCTTTGTAAATGCTTAACAAGGCATAAATAGTCCTTACTTTAGATGAGCTCACAAAAATTAAGCATAGCGTCAGTTCTGGCAGGTCACGTTAGTCAAGCTCGCATCAGCTGACTCTCAGCTGATCCACGTATATATACGAATATGACACCTATCACTGTATTCATATATAAGCTCCTTCAATATTATCAGCAGCTATCGCGATTCTCAGGAGCTAATTACCCTCCTCCATCCCCAGCTCCTCTCGCCCGCAGTCGAATTATGTTGTACTTTAAAATCTTGAATTATTGATATCTGCAATACATTCATGTTGGTTCTGTTCTGTTTACCGTAAGGGGGGTTATTGCTGCTCTCCCTGCTCTTATCCATGCTAGGCTGCATGGATGCACAGGGAGTTCTTGCCCAGAACAGAACCATACCGCCAATCCAAACTGTATGTTAATTGTCAATCGTATTTGACGATAGTGGTCCTGACAGAAATAGTTAACTGACTACTACTAAATACTTAATAACTACCTGAATTAACCATGAATTACAGTAGAAATACATGTAAATAAGCATTTATTTACACAAGTAACTATTACTATATGTCTGAATAATAAGATGTATGAATGTACATTTAAATAGTTTATTATTTACTTACACTTTCTAAGTGTTTTTATGGATCACTGGCAACTCCTAAATAACTGGTTTGTAAATAATGCAATACTTCATTTAGAAATGATAAATTGATCATTAATAAAACATGAAAATACAATTATTAAACACATATGCTTATAAATCAAGAATAAAGCATTTGTAGCTGTATTTATAAACTACTTATTAATGTATAATAATGCTTTATAAATTATTAATTAACTGTTTACTAATGCTTAACTAATGATTAATAGCGTGTTATTATAAAGTGTTACCGAACTGGGTAATGCACCAAGGTAATCGAGATAACACAATGTTATTATAGTTCTTACAATTATGACAGATTTTAAGTATTGGCAACTTGACATTTTAAGTTAAGACATTGAATCTTTGTCTTTGCCACTGAGATGCACATGAAATACAAGCTAGAGGAGTATAACACTTCATAAACCTGCTTCAGAACAATTCATTGGGGCATTAATTTAGTGTCAGATCCCTTTTACTGTACCGCCACAGCACAGCCACTCTAACTGCTGATGATGATAATAAATGAACTCAATGGTCAGGGATGTGACCTTGATGCACTGTTCTCAAAGACAATTTGAATTGCTGCTGATGTATTTTCAAGTGAAACATTTAAGCAGCACAATAATTTCCCACATTTATGATAATAAATGTTTCTTGAGCAGCAAATCAATTAGAATGATTTCTGAAGGATGGGACTCTGAAGCCAGGAGAAATGATGCTGAAAATGCAGCTTTGATCACACGAATAGATTACATTTTAAAATATATTCAAAGAGAAAACATATATTTTGAATTGTAATAATATTTCACAATATTATTGTTTTGTTTTCTTTCATATTATTGATTAAATAAATGCAGCCTTGGTAAGCGTAAGAGCTTCTTTCAAAAACATTACAAAAGCTTACAGACCCCAAACGTTTGAACTGTAGTGTTTTATGGCAATAAGTAGAACAAAATTATACAAGTTTGTGAACACCTTGTTTTGTTTCATTGGAAAAAAGTTTTTTTATATATATTTGCAACTAACTAGAATCTACTTGCCAGACCATTTGGCGTTTCATTTGAACTAAAACCTGTTCAGATTTTCCTCCAAAAATGCTTGATTGCTTTACAAATTCAGCTTACTTTGCAAAGAGCTAAAAGTGTTCCTGCATCAATAAACGTCCTCATATCATATTCATGAACTTCTGAAAAAAAAATATTCTGCATATATAGTCTGCAATTAAAACAGCAAAAAAGTCTGTTCTCATTAGAGGGTGAGATAGGGAGTTCATACACAGTGTCTCTATAGCCGCAAAATGTTCGTCTCTGCAGGTGTCTGTGAAATGGAACTTCTCTCCCTTGTGCCTCAGGCCATCGGCTGTCATTAAGCAGAAAGTAAAATAAAACTCTTCTCTCCGCCAATTACTGAAGGAGAACATTTTTCACAATTCAGCAGGATATAGACTCCATCTGCTAGCACATCTTTAAAACACAAAAAAAGATTTGTAAAACATACTTTTAGGGAGAATCTATTCACAAGAATTTAAGGATAGGAAGTATTTTGAGATGACATTTCCCAGAATGCACTTGGTAATAGTCAGTGTGCAAATTATACAGTGACTTTCAGCGAGGTCAAATCTTTTAAATGGAATCTCTGCCGTGTTCAGGACGTGCTCTGTTAAGGTTTGTCTCGTGCAATTCAAATTGTCTTTTGGTGCCGCCAGCAAATACATATCAGCTCTTTTACAATAAAATCAGAATATGCCCAATGGCGTACGGGACACCCCTGAGGTGTGGGGGGTTGTAGATACTATGCAAGGCCATCCTCTTAGCATTATGAGCCAGATATATCATGGTTCAATTCGCCTGTCAGGACTGATTTTTCTCTGCATAGAAGACAAAATCGAATTCAGACGTGTCAACAACAGACATTAGAACAACATAAGGGAATCATTTTCTCTTCTGGTTGTTTTAACGCTGATCTGAACATGCCCTGAGGTGTGAGTCTGGATATGAAGGAAAGAAACAGTGAGAGAGACAGCTGAGATGTTTGCTGAGAGGCACAACTGAGCTCTTGCCTATATTACTGAGCAGGATAATCAGAGGAGTGAAAGGAGAGAGGAAATCCTTTCTGTGCTCCCCATCTTGAGGCTGTGAGCACATCCTCCTGCTTTCTTCTCTTTTTCACTGCTTGGTTCCCATTGACTTAGCTCTCACTGAAGGCCGCTGGGCTTCCTCCTATTGTTACAGGAACAGATCACCTGCTGCTCATTAATTTTATAATGTTCATGCATATTTCCTCAAGACTCCCACTGCATATATTATATTCTGACTGTGCATATAGTAACAAAATAACCTCCAAGGATTTTCTCACCATCCTTTAGGTCACTTCATTTCCATCCTTTTTAGTTCAAAGAAATCAAAGGAATTAGCATTACAATTAAAATCACACCCATGGAATATTTCTTCTTTTTTATTTTAACTACAGATGGGTTCAAAATCTTGGACCACAAGGGAAAATGCTTCCATTTTGCATTCTTTTTTTTAATGTGATACCAATTTCCTTCCATTAGTATTTCTAAAATGCAAGTGTAAATCATCCACAGAAACTCTCTCAGAAACGTATACAAGGAACCATCTAACGTGGGACATTCCAAAAATATTGATTAAAAAATCATCATTAGTGCCCAAACTATGCAGTAGTCGCGTTTTAACAAAAATAATAAACACAAAGATAGCAACTGAAGTAAACTTTAA